CAGCGCTGAGGGAGCGCCACACTGTCGGAAGGTCAGCGCTGAGGGAGTGGGCACTGTCGGAGAGTTGGTATTGAGGGACTGTTGCGCTGTTGTATAGTCACTACTGAGAAAGTGCTGCACTGTCAAAATGTCAGTGCTGTTCATTGGACTGTGTTTCGGAAAAGACATTAATCAGAAGCCATACCGACCTTTCAATATAATATAATAATCACATGTCCACTCTTTGAAAGTTTTGGGGGGAGTTCACCTGATGTTGTGTGAAAAGTTATGCCTCAACCAATACCACGAAGATAACAGATAAACGCAACATACAGCAGATTCTTGAAATCTGAAGTAAAACCAGGAACTGCATGGAGTATCTCAGCAAGTCTGGAAGTCTGCGTGAAGAGAAACACAGAATTAACATTTTGAGTCTGATATGACTTGTGCAGAACGTGATTCTGGTCAGCACTACAGACTTGCAGCTTGATATTGAGTGTAAACTCAAGAGGAAATGGGTTCAAATGGAAGGGCACCATCTCTCTCTCTCCTCTCTCTCTGTCCATGAAGAAGTTGTTTCTTCTCAGGGTTTCAAAGCCCTGGAACATTCATTTATGCATGAAACAGAAACCTGGTGTGCACACAAATATGGGTAACAGACACACCTGTGATTCTAAACATAAATATACATACACATGCACACAGGAGTAGGGAGAGGATTAATTCAGTTAACCTGTCTTCTTTCCATGTGAATAAACTGTAAATTGTAGGCTTGTCTTTTTATTTTCCACAAATTTTACATTTACCTACATTATAACTCCATTTACCACTTCTTTGCCCACTGACAGCCTATTGATATCTGGGTAGACTTCATATTTCTGCTTACAATTTGCCTGTTTGTGTCATCAGTATAATTTGGCAACTATCATCACTTGAGGCTTACCAAAGCCCATTGACCATCGAAAAGGCAAAGTCAGGAGTAGAAGGGAATACAACAACAGGCGAAGCTCGACACCATCCAGGACAAAGCAGCCCGCTTGATTGGCATCACATCTACAAGCATCCATTCCTTCCACCGGCAATGCTCAATAGCAACAGTGCATGCTGTCTACGAAATGCAATGTAGAAATCACCAAGGCTCCTTAGACCGTACCTTCCGAACCACAACCTCTAATATCTAGAAGAAAATTGGCAACAGATACGTAGAAATACCACCACCCACAATTTCCCTTCCAAGCCACTCACCATCCCAACTTGGGAATATATGTCCATTCCTTCACTGATGCTGGGTCAAAATCATGGAACTTCCTCCTTAACAGCATTGTGGATCTATCTAAACCAAGTAGACAGCAGCGGTTCAAGAAGGCAGCTCACCATCATCTTTCCAACAAACCATTAGGATTGAACAACACATACTGGCCCAGCCATCAAAGACCACGACACCTAAATGAATTTTTTTTAAAATTTAAAATTTAAAATGTAGCAGTTGGAGGCCGGATACATGATGAGTTGGTGTGCTTGGGTGTGTGACAGGTAAGGTGCTTAGTGTGGGGTTAGGGTGCCTGGTCCGTTGGGGCTGGGGGCAGGGTTATGGTCATTGTATTCTTGGAGCAGTTAGTTAGGTCAGATCATGCCAAGGTTGTTGGGACTATGGGGAACCATAGAGGGCTGTCTCTGAGGGAGGTTCCAGGCATTAGGGAGCATTCCCCCACGCTCCTGACTTGTGCCTTGTAAATAGTAGACAGGCTTTGGGGAGTCAGGGTGGTCTTACTGTTGGTGCAGAATTCCAAGCCTTTGATCTGCTTTTGTAGCGATTTATACGGCTACTCAAATAGACATAAAATACTGCAGATGCTGGAAATCTGAAATAAGATTCAGAAACTCAGTGGTCTGGCGGCAACTATAGAAAGAGAAAGATAAAGTTAATTTTCAAATCCTCCTCCAAAGAAGACTTAAATGGGATTCAAAATGTTAAGTCTGTTTCCCTCACCAAAAATACTGCCAGACCTACTGAGTTTCTGCAGCACTTTCTGTTTTAATTAATATAGCTAGTCCCTTTGAGTTTCTGGTCAATGATAACTTCCAAGATGTCAATAGTGGGGAATTCAATGATGTTAATACCATTGAATGTCAAAGGGTATGGTTACATTGTCCCTTGTCGGGGATTCATAACCTGGCATTTGTGTGTGTCATAAATGTTGCTTGCCACTTGTCAGGCCAAGTCTGGATATTGTCCATTTGAATGTGGACAGCTTTAGTATCTGAAGAGTTATAGACGGTGGTGAAAATTGTCCAACCATCAGCAAATGTCCCCACTTGCTGACCTTTCGCTGATAGGAAAGTCATTGACGAAGCAGCTGGAGATGGTTGGGCCTAGGACACTAACCTGAGGAACTCCTGCAAAGATGTTTTGGTGCTGAGGTGACTGACCTCCAACAACCGCAGTCATCTTCCTTTGTGTTAAGTATGACAGTTTACAACCAGTAGAGAGTTTTCCCCAGTCCATTGAGTCTAACTTCACGAGGACTGCTTGATGCCACAATCAGCAGCCTTGATATCAGGTGCAGTCACTCCCTCCTCCTCTATGGAGTTCAGCTCTTATATCCATGTTTGAACTAAGGTTATGGTGCTGTCAGGAGCTGAGTGGCCCTTCCAAAACCCAAATTGAACATCAGTGAGCAGCTAACTGTGAAGCAATGCCTCTTGATAGCACTGTTGAGACTCTTTCCATCAGTGTATGGATGATTGAAAGTAGACTGAGTGGAAATTGGCTGGGTTGTATTTATCCTTTTTTTGGACATACCAGGGCGATTTTCTGCATTGTTAGGTAGGTGCCAGTGTTGTAGCTGCACTGGAAGATCTTGGCTGGGGGAGTGAAAGTCCTGGAGCACAGGTTAGAATGTTATTGGGATTCATTTCCTTTGCACTATTCAGTGCCTCCAACCTTTTCTTGATTTTGTTTTTATTCATTCATGGGACATGGGCATCACTGGCTGGCCAGCATTTATTGCCCAAACCCAGTTGCCTTTGAGATATCAAGTGAATTGAACTGGCTGAAGATTGGCATCTGTATATTGTTTTCACTTAACCTCTGGAGGAGGCCGAGATGGATCATCTACTTGGCAGTTCTGGTTGAAGATCGTTGCCAATGTTTACCTTTCGAACCGATGTGCTCCGCTCCCTCGTTATTGAGGATGGGGATATTTGTGGGGCATCCTCCAATGACTTGAATGATCTAGATGTGGCAGCATTGCAGGGCTTTGATCTGATCCATTGGTTGTAGGGTGACTTAGCTGCTTCCCGTGCAGGTAGCTATGTTGTTGCTTCATCAGGTTGACAACATATTTGATGAAGGGTCTAGGCCCGAAACGTCAGCCTTTCTGCTCCTATGATGCTGCTTGGCCTGCTGTGTTCATCCAGCCCTGCACCTTGTTGTCTCGGATTCTCCAGCATCTGCAGTTCCTACTATATCTGATTTTATTTTTAGGTATAGCTGGTGACACTCCTGGCTTGTCCTTCTGCATTCTTCCTTCAACCAGGGTTGATCCCCTGGCTTGAAGGTAATGGTAGATGTTGCAGATTGTGCTGAAATACAATTCTACTGCTGTTGATGGCCTACAGCACCTCGCAGATGCCCAGTTTGAGTTGCCAGATCTGCACAAAGTCTATCCCATTTAGCATGATGATAGTGCCACATATCACAATATAAAGTATTCTCAACGTGAAGACAGGACAGTACTCACTCCTACCAATACAGTTTTGGACATCTGCATCTTTGGCAGGCAGATTCATTTTGATTCTTTCTCTACCTGCCATATACCCAGACTTATCAGCTGTGTCCTTTCAGACCTGGCCAACTCAGTCAATAGTGATGCTGCTGAGCCACTTCTGGTGGCAGACTGTGCCCCATCTAAAGCATGTACTGACTCCTTCAAAGTTTAACATGTAGGAATACAGATTCATCAGCTAAACAGGGGCAGTACATATAATCAGCAACAGGTTTCCCTGCCCATGTTGGACCTAATGGCATGAGAATCTATGGTATCCATTATCAATGTTGAAGGCTCCTAACGCAACTCCCACCCAACTGTGTACCTGACATCTTGACAGTGCAACACCCCTAACCCACACTGAGGCACTGTTCTGCATACAATTTCATTGACACCATGTTACACCCTCACCTACACTGAGAGACTATTCCCACACACCTCCATTGATGGACTATTACACCCCCTCACTCCACTGGCCTCCTCCAGTGGTCCCCAGCATCACAGATACCAGCCTTCAGCTAATTCAATTCTCTCCATGTGACACCAAAGAATGGGCAGGAGACATTAGATATTGCAAAGGCTATGGACCCTGACAACATTCTGGCAATAGTACTGAAGACATGTGCTCCAGAACTTGCCGCTCCCCTAGCCAAGCGGTTCCTGTACAGTTACAACCCTGGTATCTACCCGACAATGTAAAAATTGCCCAGGTATGTCCTGTGCACAAAAAGCAGGACAAATCCAACCTAGCCAATTACTGCCCCATCAGTCTACTCTCAATCGTCGGTAAAGTGAATGAAGGTGTCATCAACAGTGCTATAAAGCAGCA